AAGGCTTTACTGTAAGGAGCTGAATTTTTGGGGTAGCATACTTATCTTTTTAAGTTCTTTCAATAAATCTGTTGCTGGTACAGTGTCTTGAGATGTAAACAGCTTCTTTTTCAGAGCAACCTTCACACTGGTAGCCATTTTATTAAACGGGTGTGGTTTACCTTGTTCTAAAAATAGTAAACTCATTAAGCTATGCAGGCTACAGTGATTTTAATTAAATGCGTGGGTGTTGCGCGCTCCTACCCTTCCCTTTTTCTTTTATGGGCTCCTGGTTATACACTGAGGAGAGGTTTCTATGGTATTTATTGCCTGGCCTCTTAGACATGTTGTATGTATGTCAACTATGGTCTAGTTATCAGCAGCTGGTAGTTGTTTTCAAATGTCATGGTAGAAGTAGGTTATACACTTCAGTATCGGTTTCAATGGCATTTATTAACCTCGCGAGATACCATAGAAACCTCTACAAAATGGTCAGTAAAAAACACTAATTTTTTTCTCACAAATAAATCTAGATTGAAATGCAATTTTTGTGAAATATTTTCTCCAAAATATATCCTTTATAATGGCAGCTTCCCATTTTTAGTATTCATGATTATTTATTATTGGAAAATTACAAGTATAGGTTATACACTGAGGTGGATATTTTTAAATAGCAAAATTAGTGAAATTTAAACCTCAGAAAATGTATCCCCATTCTCAATTCTACGCAGTGATGAAGCAGACTTTATAGTCAGTAGGACACTCTCCTCTAATTATTATCTACTCTTGCCTATATTTATTATGGTAATAATTACAATGCTCATTTAGCATGTGATGAAAATTTTGGAAATGTTTTTAAACCTTCAAAATTATACATTATCATTGGGCTATACGGTACTATAGTACTAACCTCATGTAAATTAGTCTCAAATCGACGTTTCACACGAGACCTTGTAGCAATAGTTATATCCTTGTCCTAAAAGAGCAATTTTTAATGATAATATTGTTAATTTTTGCACATACCACAGTAGCACTTGTGGTAGCATTGGTTTTCTTAATCGATGCAGTCTGAGTCTTTGACTGCATGAATGAAGAACTTCTATCAACTTTCATTTTCTAAATATAAAATATATGTAGTAATTCCTATAACATACAAAATATACATACTTTGGCAGGTTTTTCTATGGATTCATGAATCTGTGGGTCTAATGGATAAAAAATTATCAAAACAAGCGTAACAGTGTAAAAATATTCCTATAATTGATTTCACCACCTTACATGTACAGCTGGGTTTTTATTAAGACTTATGAAGATTCTCTCTACCTTCTACTGCTTCTAGAAAAGTCTTTAGACAGTATCTCTATGCTCTTTCGCTGTTAGAAAGCTCATAACTTTTTCCATGTTCAAACCGCCATTTTGTTTGCCGTGACCACACCCACTTACGTAGCGTGGGCGGGTGGTTGCTAAGGCTTGTTATTTCTCCAATACAACGTGTATAGAAGAAATGAAGTGTTGACATACAATCAAATATTATATCGCACGTGGGTGAAATCAATTATAGGATCTAGGACGACCTGGGGGCTACGCCCCCAGGTCGTAAAAAGAAAATAGAATGATAGCTGGTTACTTTCAAAATTTAACCTGTTTACCACACAAAAATTTTATTTCTGTTTCTCAAAATATAAATTATATAGAGTCCACAAAATAACTGGAGTTTTAAATTTGTAATGATAATATACCATAATTATCTCTCAAATAAATAGCCTGCTCAAATGCTACAGTATGCTTAGCTATTCCACTCTCAAATATCAATAACCCTCCCTTACTTTGTCTTTCTCTATCAAATTCAATTCCATCAGCTACAGCATTCTCTCCTATTCCTCTAAGAGCAGTTATCAGACTATCAATTGTTGGATTCTTCACGTTATCAGCTTTACGTAACCAGCTAGCCAAAAACTTTGTAAAACAAGGATCTACTTCTCCATGATCTTTCTTTATTTTCTCTAGTGTATTTTGAGATATCTTAAGACGTAGGCCAAGTCGATTATATGATGCTTTGCTGTAATTATGCCTCTCGAGTAAAGCAAGAATTTCATCAAGATCACTGATGTCTGTATATAAAAACAACGTAGTAGCTATTTTTACGGTCCCGTAATCTCATTGTATACAGCTATTTTTACGGCAGGGAATATAGAAATGAAGTGACGTATAAAGATGACAATCAGCATCAATAAGGCAGCAGGATCATGGTGGCACAGTGGGGAAGGCACTGGGTTGGATACGGACGGGCACTGGTTCGAATTCAGCTCAGACCATTTCTTTTTTTTTTATAATTTTGACTTTAACAAATTGATTTTTAAAAATCTTTCTACTTCGCTATGTTCCCTAATTATGTTAGGAACCCTAGTTATGTTAGGAGTCCCCTACTTAGCTATTGTTTTTAGGGTTTAGGGTGGCGGTTTTTTTTTAGAGCGTCCCCAGTCATTTTATGAGCCCCCTAGTTATGTTAGGAGTCCCCAAGGTTGGTTTAGGGTTTAGTTTTTATTTTTATTTTAGAGTGTTTCCCAGGTTTTAAAATGAGTAAATCCATAGATAAATCATCCTGCCGTAAAAATAGCCACCCACGGTCGGATTACGGGCCCGTAAAAATAGCCACTGCCTAAAAACAATGACATTATAAGCATTACTTACCCTAGCTACACCCCAGTAACTCACTTAAAATCCTTCCACACAAAATTGAACTAGTATCACCTAATTTGGCCATGTCACACACAATCCCAATTACCCCTCTGGGCGGCTGGGCCCTCTCTGCTGAGTCTGCTCTGGTTTTACCGCTTTAGGCGAACAATATCACGTGATACTGCTGAGTGCATATCAACAATATGACTTTTATTTTTGCAAATTAGGGTATCAAATTTTTAAAAATTAAATTGGAACTGCTGGAACTTCCAAATTTTCATGCAACCATAATACACTAGCAGTTAGCGCCCAGTCACTTTCCCCTGCTGTTTTATTCACTAGATATTCTGCACATCATGAAGAAATCAAAGCTAGCCAACTTGATAAACATAAAATATCATTAAAAGAAAATGAGACATACAATGTATTATTTTCATGAATGCAACGACTGTCTGTAAAATAGAGTAAAGGAAAATGTTCTAATACAGCATTCAAGCTCAATAATTACATACATTATGATTAAAGGATACATTTCATTGCCCAGTTTCTCTAACTTTTAAAGAAGTAAAAAATTAAATATCAGAAATGCTTTGCTTACTGTTTGTGTCAGTTCATTAAGAGATGCTTCTACTTGATAATCTTTACCTGAACTAAAATGATTTTCAAAAAATAACCATAATTATTAAGCCTAGCCCTGCTTTTTACTTCTCTTGACTAATTCTCATTTGATCAATTTCAAAATGTCTTAATGTCAAGTCTTCCTGCATCTTACGTATCTTAGTCAACTTTGACAATGTATCAGAATTACCTAAAATTATAATGGCAAAAAATATACATAGATCTATATGAATTATTGATTTAGTTTTTATCTGTATACCATACAGAAGGAAATTTTGGAGGGACTAAATTTTGGCGAATTGCTAAATTTTGGTGATTGGCGAATTTGTGGCCACGTGCCGTTGAGCATGCGTATAATGGCTCAAAATGGTGAATTTTTATTTTGGCGAATGACTATCAAAACGCCAAATTCGCCAAATTTAACTACCTCCAAAATTTCCTTCCATACGGTATATAGCAGAGCTAATTGGGGCTAAAGACATCGTTTGCAATTGTATACAATGACAATAAGTAAAACTTAATATTGATATCCACATGCCTTTTCAGTCAATATTGATCACAAATTTTTAGCGTGCATACCAAAAGCATTGAGTTTTCCTTCCTCAAAATCTTCCAAAAGTTGCTGAAGTGCTTTCTCAGATTCTCTCAGAGATTCTGTCTGTGATCTACTCTTATGCTTCATTGACGGTCCTTTTGTCTTTGATGGACTCTTGGGAGGATCAGTACGGGAGGACTCACTCACTGGAGGAGTAGGAGCTTCAACTCGAACCTCAGTCTCTTGTATTTTAACATCAATAGGTGCCGCCATTTTAATGGGCATGTAAGAGGGTGCGGTTACAAAAAAGGTGTGGCTGGAAAGTTCACGTGGTGATGGTGCAAGAGTGAAAAGGGACACAAAATGAAGTAAGTGTATCTTCTTCCATCTCTCTTCAAGTAATGTCTCTAGTCTGTATGCTCATATTAACCTCTTCATTAATTTCTATATTGTCTTGATAGGGTAGAATTGTGTAATTTTAGTGGGTACAAGATCCATCCTGGCCATGGGAAGAGATATGTGAGGATAGATGGAAAGGTAACCATATTGCACTCATTATATTAATAAAGTAGCCCTGTTTTTATCTAATATATGCATAATATGTATGTTGAGCTCATTATTGGTGAATGAGAGTACACAATATTACCATACCTGCATGTAGTCAGGTGGGGCCTGACGCCTGACTAATCTGCATGTACATGTAGCTGAGGTGGTCTTACTTGTGCTGCATAGATGTACCATTACAGAATTTAGACACTGAGTTGCTAATAAAATTGATACGAGGATTTACAAATAATGATAATAGCTTGACTTCTGTTTAAGTTGTCACTGTATCTAATGTTAAAAATTTTTTAATGATAAAGAACCAAGCATCTTTCTGTTTTTATCTCATTCAACTCTAACAATGATTACTCATCAGTTTTTGCCTGTTTCAATAATCAGTGTAGTATGAGGATTTTTGAATGTTTTATTTTTCTGAGGTTTAACTTGATCAATAGATTTGTACAATGAGAGGTCTACATGGTTTATGTATTGTCCTGTTTTTCTTCATTTTATAATGACGATTATGATCATCACTTCCTTCAAGTGTTTCATGCATTACTTAAATGTTTATAGTAAAATAACCACAACAGCTGTAATAATGATAAATATTGCTATACAGTATAACCTCGATTATCCAGACCCCTTGTCCATCAGGTGGTCCGGATGGGTCCGGATAAGTGAAAAGTCCGGATAATTGAAGTGACCTTTAAAACCTTCATATACATGTACTTACTCCAAAGAAAAGCTAGAGCCTTAATCAGCCATAAGGAGGCTAAATCCAAGCATTGTTACTAGTAGAAAGCCATTAAAGGGTAACTCAACCCAAAAATTTTTTTGCAGAAATAAGTTGGTAATAAAGAAAAAAATTATAGGAAAAATAAGTAAAATTATCAAAAAGTACTGTTTCCATACTAAATCTTGGGTCAAAAGTTGCAATTTC